CCCCAAAACCCCAAAACCCCAAAACCCCGATTTATAGAAGAGGTAATGAATATTTTATATAAATAAATTAAGATGGGAAAGGTAAGTAGTGTTAGTAAATGTGTTTGCAAGGGGTTGCGAGGGATTTGGTGGGAATAGCTTTGAAGATGTCTTTAGTATGATTTAAACGAATTCGAAGCTGATTATTAGCATTTTTATGCTTATATGAAATGGTTTTGTATATTTGGAATGTTTTTATAGTTGTAAGAATCAATGGTATATATTTTTGAAACGTCTCTTTTATCCATGCTAAGCTTGGTAAATATATTTTATATCGTTTTTCATTAGTTTTAGATTAATTTTAATACCATAAAAATCTTTTGTATTTTTCCAAAGCCGTCAGAAAAAGTTAGCAGCTAAATGTATTTTTTAAATCTTTTTAATTTTCGAAAAATCTCGAATTTTTAAAAATAATTGAACCGTTTAGAAAACACATCTCCGAAAAATAACAGTTATGATAATTACATTGATATTTATCATGAGTAAAACTAGAGGCGAAGTCATGGCTACGTATAATTTACAGGATACTGACAAAGGAGTCTCTATCGAAAGCCATTCTGGTTTGGATTCACAGCCAACTCTTGATTGGCCTAGTATGTTGATTTCTAACCATAGGCCAAAGTAATTACAGACCTTATAATGGTTCTTACTATATGGGATTTAATGATGGCCATAATCAGTAAGTATCCTATAATGATTTGACAGACATCTGGACTTTTCCTCTCAATTTGACAGTGCAACTGACTCTTTTGCCATAAATATTTGGGTATATATCAATAGCAATAATTTGAACAATGCTACTTTCCTGAGAGTCAGAAATAAGGTAAGCTCTGATTGCTCATTTATCAGTTCGATAACAACGAGATTATCGAATTTGAGATGCAAATCACCGAAGATGGATTTGATGCAGAAATGGATTTTTGCATCAACGGAGGACCTGTTATTTCTGGACTAACATATGCCTTTAAGGGTAAGAAGTAGTCTTGAGAGATTATATACTCTCTGGAATAGATATACTTTTGAACAATTAAGAAGTCTTGGTAGTGAGTTGTTTCAAAATTTAATTTGAGCCATTACAGCTGTTGTTCTAACAATCCTGAGGTTTGTAGAAAAGCAAGTTATTTGTAATCTAAGTTTCTTTAATACAACGCTTTCAAGAATAAAATATATTAGTTGAAAATCTCGATTTTATATTTGATAGCCAATTGAATAAAAAGAGTTTATCCGATGAGTATTTCAAATTATTGTTTCATCTCCTTAATAGCTGAAATTGCATTTCATTAGGATATAGCGCCAATATAATCAATTCTAAAAACATTAAACCAAAATAATAGCTTTTAGCTCTTTTGATTAGAAGTTCTTTATGATATGAAACCATGCTTTATCCAAAAGTGACAACTGCTCTAGTTCAATCATCAAATTCCTTCATTTTTGTTTTTCTAATCAGATATTTAATTATTTTGACCTTTTTCTAGAAACTCTTGCTAATTTTACAGTTATATATCAATATTCATTCTTCTTTTAGATGATGAATGGCAAATGTTTGGTTTGGCTTGGAGCCAAGATGTTGCATATTCCAAAATGGTGAATCAATCTCATTCTCTTGTTAATAGTAAGTGTTAATTCTGTCTAAACTTCCTTCAACGCCGAATGGAATTAAAAAATATAGGTGCTTCTTATCCTGTCGGTTCAGGGGGATCCGCAAGCACAAGTCCAATGTTCTTAGGATTCAAAGAGCAACAGCTTAGCATTGGATATTTCAGGGTTTTTAGGTAAGTCACTCATCGATGGAGAGTTTCATGAGTAATTTTTTCGAGCTTTTCAAATTAGTGTGTAGCGAATATCGGGATGCGGCGAAATTAGAATTAAATTGATTAATGATAAAATAATTATTGGTTTTGAAAAATTTTCAGAAAAATAGGATAGTTTTGAAATAGATTGACATTGAAAGATTTTTCTATTAAATTATGAGAGAAGTGTAAATTTTAACCCTTGAAAAGGGATTACCTCCTCATTACCTTCTGGTCAAATTTTCCTCGCGTATCAGAGAAATGTGGCCCAGGTAGAAACCTCATATCTGCACATACAACGAGTACTTCTTGATATACCTCTTAATGAATAATATTGTCGAATCCTAAGGCAAGTCTTAAGTTTCTATCATTATTAAAAATAATGGATGAGCCCAAGCAATGAAGAAGACCGTTTTCTATATCCTCCCAACTACTCAGTGTAAAAATGTGGTTTTGAAAGGCTACCTATATCCTATTAAAACTTTCTCTACTTCCAAACCTGATCTCTCACATCTAGCATGAGGATGTACTCAGATATTAATCCTGTGCTCAACACAGGAATAAAAATGGCTCCAATGAACTGTAAGAAGTAGGAATTACTTTTAGATAACTATAATTATTGAGGCAATAAAAACCGATGGAATCCTGGAGAACAATGAGATGATGGCAATTGGGATAGAGGAGATGGATGAGATGAAAATTGACAAGTAGAGTCAGGATGGAGTTGAACTACATATAATCCGACTGTGTGAACAAAGTTGTGAAGATGGGATGATGCTGGGCCTCCACCGGATCAGGATGTAGACTGATATGATAGAAATCAGGATGATGGAGATGGGTGTGATGAAAGTTGTAAGGTAGAGAGTGGATATACTTGAAGCTGGAATAGTACTTCAGACAAAACTGACTGAACTGACAAATGAGGAGATGGAGTTATAATTAAAACCATGCCTTCACAGTATTGAGATGATGGCAATTTGAATGAAGAAGATGGCTGCAGTAGCACTTGAAACCAAGAAGTAGGCTATGTCTGCACCGGAGGATCTACAACAGCACCTTCAGTCTGATCTGAAGATTGAGGAGACGGAAGGAAAGTTGGAGATGAAGCTTGTGATGATGGAGGTAAGGCAGATCATGATGGCTGAAGTAGTACATGAACAATAGAGCTTGGATATATTTGAACTGGAGGATCTGAAACAAATCCTGATACCTGAAACCCAATTTGTGGTGACGGCAGAAAATTTTCAGATGAAATTTGAGATGACAAGAACACCTCTAGTGGTGATGGATGAGACTCAACCTGTACTAGCATTGAGGATGATTACCAATGAACTGGAGGATCACTATCTCAACCAGACACATGAACTCTTATTTGAGGCAATGGAAAGCTTCCTTCAAGTTTGGACCAGACTGAGCATTGAGATGACGGAAATACACAAAGTGGAGATGGCTGAGACGAGAACTGCAAAGTTGAGTCAGGATGGGAATGAACTGGAGGCTCTCTCACATCACCAAGTATCTGTGAAATTGAGTGAATTGCTGAAGGATGAGTAAAGTGTGAATCAGGCTCGGATAAAAAGTGAGTAGCATGTGAACATGGATACCAACTCGTCGATAATAAACATTGAAGATATACTGTAGTTGCTGAAGAAGTCCAAACTCTTTCAAGTGGATCCCAAGCTGCAGCAGGAGCTGGCTCTCTTATTGCCACTCTGATGTCTCTTCTGAATTCATCTTCACCCATGGCGATCTGGTCAATGGCCAACCAAATGCAGCTTCTGATGCTTCTGTTATTGACTCAAACATCTCTTCCAGCTGATGTAGTCGGGTACATTTCAGGCAACCAAATGTTCTCATTTAACATGAATTTTCTGCCAATACAGAATAATGTGGTGTCAAAGGTGCCTCTGGACTGGCTCAAGCAAAACCAAACTAACATTGGACTAGGAGACATGGGCATAGAGTCAGGCAGTTCATTCAACAACAATTTTGGCATCATTTGAACATTGCTGATGTTGATAATATTCCACTGATTGTGGAGCTTGTTGCCGAGAACTATCGATGACGATGATCCTAGAGACTGCAAAGAGAAAACCCTCAAATTTGTTGGGTGGGTCTGGAAGATCTTAACATTTGGAGTTTATATCAGACTGGTGTTGGAAGCATATCAGAATATTCTGCTGTCAAGTCTCAACGAAATCAAGAACTTAGAGTCATTATCAATTCAAACAATAATTTCTGCATCAATTGCTCTTTTATTCTTGTGAATTACTTTGATTATATTTTACTTGGCTATCAAGCAAATTAATCTTGACATTGAACCTAAGCAGCATTCAAAATCAAAAGAGTTTACTGCTGGACTCAAAGACTCAAAAGCTGCCAGAGTGTTCACAACTCTTCTGCTATTAAGAAGACTTGTATTCTGCACATGGCTGATAATATTCTCATTTACTGGTTATTATTACTTGGTGCCTGGAATGCTGCTGGCACAGATATTATATACTGTATTTATAATCTTTGTAAGACCATTCAAAGAGAATATGAACAATTTGATTGAGTGACTCAATGAAATATTCTTTGTGTTGATAGTGGCATACTTGATGAAATACAACACAAAAAAAGCATGGACTCCAATGGCAACCAGATGCTATGTCTATCTTCTGATTCTAAACAACCTCTTAATCTCTTTCATCATATCAGGTACCCTCCTCTCTCACTCATAGCCATCGGCATTACCCAACTCTGCTACAAACTTTGCCACAAAAACAAACCACCAACCTCAACCATCCCCCAAATAATCCCTCCTAAGGTACCCTCTCTCTCACTCCTAGATATCCCCAATCCGCTTCGACTCCAGCAACATCATCGCAACATCAGACATCCACTTGATAAAATTCCCTACCAACACAAGTCCTTCAATCATTACCACATCTCCTTCCCCTGCCTCGCTCAACAAGAAAATGGCCCAAGCCAAAATCAGACCTGTTTTTGATTGAAGTTAAAATATTGGCAAAGTTAAGATTTAGAGACAATATGGATTTTATGATTAGGGGTTTTGGGGTTTTGGGGTTTTGGGGTTTTGGGG